GTTTCAAGGAGGTTTTTCTAATACCCCTGGTTCCCATCTTAATACAAGTATTCTAAATGAGGTATTGAGATCAGCAAAATCAAAGAAAACCGACTGCTGTATTATGTTTCTGGATATTGAGAAAGCGTACGACAATATCGGCCATAACCACTTATCCTCAGTCTTGCAGGAGTTACCTATTCCTAGAAAACTGATTGAAATAATAATTAAACTCCAAATAGGCAATGTTACAAAAGTTGAAACTCATAGAGGGAAAACAAAGGACATCAAAATACAAAGGGGTGTAATGCAGGGATCTCCATTGTCACCCACTTTGTATAACCTATGTATTGACCATATCCTCTCTGAAATATCACAACATGCCGTAAGTGAGGAGCTAGGGTATAAGCTATGCAAGGACATGCCTTCTTTAAGTATTCTAGGATTCGCTGACGATACCATTTTAATTGGTAAGAATAGAGAAAGTGCTCTTGTATTATTCGATTCGATTTGTGACTTCTTCAGAGAAATTGGATTAACTATAAATATATCAAAAACTAAAATTATTAACATTGAAAAAGGTAGATTACAAGAGGAAAATTTCCAAATATGTTCAAAAGAAATAAAATCTATAACATTTAATGAAAAAATTAAATACTTAGGAGTAAATTTTTCTGAAAGCATAGTATTTGACTCTGAAAAAACAATTAGTTCATTGATAAACAAAATTGAAAAATTAACATGTTCTCCTTTTTTAAGGTCTGAACAAAAAATGTATGTATTGAATCATAATATTTGGCCATCTTTAATATATCCTTTTCAAACCGCACCAATTAAGAAAATTACAATGAAATTCTTTGACGATGTTGATAAAGTGATAAGATCAACAACAAAGGAAATCTTAGATCTTCCAAATGATATGCCAAATTCTATGTTTTATACAAGTACTAAAAACAAAGGGATTGGGTTATGTAAATCAATGTGGGAATCATCAATCCAACATATAAACATATGTCGCGTATTAAAACAAACAGGAAACCCCTACTTACTTAATATTCGTCAATTTGACGAAGAAATTAGGTTTTGTCTGGAAAAATTGAATTTAAGTATTGAATTTATCGAATCAAAACCCAAGATACTGCGAGAAACCTTACGAGACTTAGAGTATCAATACCCCCGCCACAGCAAACCTGCAGACTAAGCGAATTTCCATTAACCTGATTAGATTTACACTAAAATGCCTCCATAAAAATAGCACATTCATTTCCTATTTAAATAGAATACGTTTAACGAGTACTTAGGTTTGCTGCAACAGGGAGGGTAAACAAGATTTTTTTTATAAAATGATAATAGTTTAGTAAGAAATAAAAGTATTTTCCAAAATCGATCAAAATATGTTCATAAACAAGCAAACTACAACAGTTGACTTATTCTCCATAAAAATAACATGGGAATTTTAAAATTACAATTTTTTGAATTTTACTCCGTAACAATTAGGCGCATAATAACGCTTCAATATACTAAATTATTTGTTTTTTTAAGCTCTACAAAATGGTTTAAAAATAAATTGTGAAATTTTGTGTTTTTAGGGTCAAAAATGGGAAAAACCTATTTTTACCCCATAAAACCCCCCATAAACCCCCGTTCCCATAGTCCGATCATGCTGGTTCGCGAACTCATTCAAGTTTATCCCGCCTTACACCTTCAAACCAAATTTTATCAAAATCAGACAAAAATTACTCAAGTTATCGTGCGGATGGACACATATATATATATATATATATATATATATATATATATATATATATAGATATATAAAAATTTGAACGAATAGTGTTTTTGGCCTCTGGGGACATCAAAATGAAAAAGTAAATCGGTCCCGGGCTTAGGTCTTACCATGAGACCTACGGTAATAGCTACTTCCCTATAGGGAAATTCGCTAAAATTGGTGTAAACTTCCATACAAAGGGAATGGGGTGGTTCTTTTCAAAGAATGTAACAAGATCAATAAAAATTTGGCTAGAGGTTGTGGCCTCACAGAAGCTGAGTTCAAACAATACTTGAAAATGGTCGGAGACGTTATTCCTCTTAGAAGTCTTCATGGGAGATCCAGGGACGGGAACCAGTGCAGGCATTGTCCTGTATCTGAGAAATTTACTCTTGAAACTCTTGCCCACGTCCTTGGAAAGTGCCCATTTAGTAGTCTTCTACGAAATACCCGCCACCATACCATCAGAAAAATCATAGCTGATCAATTCAGAAAGAAAAGTTACGAGGTCTATGAAGAGGTCACGGCTATAGAAGAAGAGGGCTCTGTGAGGCGGAGTGACATCATTGTTATAGACAACGAGAAAGATTTCGGTCTCATTATAGACCCAACAGTTCGTCTTGAGACAAATGAAAATCAGCCACAGGAAGTCCATGAAGAAAAAGTAAATATTTATAAGAAAACTATCCCATATTATTCAGAGAAATACAAAATATCAAAATTCAAAGTATATGGACTACTCATTGGATCAAGAGGAACAATTCCTCAACAAGTTGAGAAATTTTGGAAGAAATTCAATTTGGAAAATCAAGTGCTATATTTAATATCTTTAACAGCCATAAAATTTTCTATTAATATTATAAGAAACCACCTATATAACAATTATCATAATTAGGTTTAAACAAACTTGCAAAATTTAATGTAATAGCCTATTATTCTTTGTTCTACAGCAGACTACAATGTGTAGTAAGATTTCAATTTTTAAAATAAATTTGAATTTATATGATTTATATTCTCCTAAAATTTAAAACTCATGTTGTACAACAACAACATTATTGCTGCTAAATAATGGAGAATCAATTTGCTGAATTTTCATTTTACTATGGAAGACTTGAGATATTATATTTTTCTCTCTCGTGTATTGATATAATTTTATTCTGTTAAACAGATAAAGCATTAGCATGTGTATGAACTAACTAACGTACAGTATTAGCTTTGACGATTGAGTACCCTAAAGTCAATGGTAAGCTTTGGATAATATTATGAGCTCTGAAAATCCGAATGAAATTGTATGAGTAGAGTTTTAGCATAGATTAAACATACTCTCTTATTGATAAGTCATCATCTGTATGGATCAGAAAGACAATTATTTCAATGTTAGCTACGGCCGGTTTTATATGGGGATGTGTTTTTGTTTACAATTTGCTTATCATTGTATACAGTTCTGTAAGAAAACATATTTACCAGAAAATTGTGGACGTCAGGTAAGTCGCAGAAGAATGGAAGAGGTCTTAAATTAAAGGTCTTGACCCCAGGGACTCGGGAAAACAGCAGAATTCCCATAAATTTGCCAGAAAACGAGATATAATGTAAATTGTTCTCCATAAGAATAGCATTAGAAGCCATTTACTGCTGATTTTTGTTTACCTCAATACAGCTGATCGTGATGTATCATTAAGCCAGTGGGCAATATTACATTTAGATACCACATTTGCCAGTCAATTCTGCAATGTAATGTACACTATATAAAACCAGGAATAACGTTACCTATCATGGTTAACTATAATACTTAAGACATTTTAGTTACAACTTAGACAGTTGAAATCCATAAAAAAAAAAACCAAATCAATTTGATTTTTAACATTTCTTTTCGTAACAGTATTGTATGCAGAAAATCCTTTACATCTAAAAACAATTTAACTAGGATTGCTTTCATAGCAGTGAAAGCCATTTGAGCGGAACAATCGTGTTTCATGGTTTTTAATAAAACAATAAATGAACAAATATTTATAGATATAATACAAAATACAAATGTTCCAACACTCTGCACTGTTAGGCTTTATTACTACTTCCTTCTCCACTTCCAACGTCGTGAACCTGTTTTCCTCCCTTCCCATAGCATTTTAGTATCGCATATATATTAATGTATGTAACTGCCAAAAACGTTTCCACACTCTGCAATGCCAATCTTTACTACTTTCTTCACCACTTCCTACGTCATGGATCTGTTTCCTTCCCTTCCCATAGCATTTTAGTACTGCAGAAACATTAATGTAACTGTAAAAAACGATTTCCCACACTCCGTACTGCCAGCTCTTACGACTTCCTTCACCACTTACTACATCATGGACCAGTTTCCCTCCCTTCCCATAGCATTTTAGTATTGCAGGTCCATTAATGTAACCGCCACAAACGTTTCCCACACTCCGCACTTCTCGCCTTTACTGCTTCCTTTACCACTTCCCACATCGTGGACCTGTTTTAGCTTGCCATGTATGAGATGGATCCCTGAATGTGATTCACCGACGAATTGTGTAAGATAGTTTTATTTAACGTTATTTAGCTACGTAAATAAAATCTGTTAAATACTGTACCTAAGTTATATATGACTGTACCTTTTCGATCAGTGGTTGTTTCCAAATTGCGACTTACATAAAACTTTTGCTGTATTATTTGATCAGTTGTCGGTTTTTTCACTTTGTACTGTGTTTAAGTTGTGGCTTGATTTTAACATATGCCATGATTCTTTGTTTTGTTTACATTTACGTCGTTATTTTGGAACCATCATGGCAACCCATACGGTCAATGTTAAAAATTAAAAACGTTGAGTTACTTTAAATTATATAGGCACTATCAAGAATTGAAATTGATTACATCTAAGCCATCCAAACATTTGATAAAACAACCTTGATAAGTTTGGCTAAAATATGTTCAGCCGTTATTAAGATTAATTGTTATAAACATTAATTGAAGTTGATCCCAAAGAGGTTCGCTTCGCTCCACTCAAAAAACATACAATGGTTCATACGGGAGAGCGGCCTCATAAGTGGAAAATACTACATGTGGAAAATCCTTCTCAAGCAAAAGCAATTACAACAAACACATATAAATTCAGAGCAACGAGCATCCTAAAAATTTGTAATACGCGTAAAAATGCCTTCAATTGTAAGGACAATTTGTATATACATATATTGGTCATAATAAATTATGTATGTGTGATAGTGTTTGTCTAATGAAAGTTCTGTTTTTTCAGGAATGAAAATAGAAGATCTCGGGCATAAGAAATAAAAACCAATTGCCAAACGAGTCCTAATTTGGATTGTACGTAGGACAACACCTCCACGGTAATACCTTGAACTTATAGAAATAACAAACTGAAGATTCTTATGAACATGAAACATTACCAATAAACTTCCTGATTTTTTACTAGAAATTCTGATAATCTGAGTTTCACAACAATAGAAAGTGCAAAGCTAAAAATGCCAAAGCAATCCAAAGAGCTTTTTCATAAGTGTCCAATATGTGGACAATCATTAAAAATGAAATATCAAGTGAAGGTTCATATATTAAAACATACGAACGAACACCCATATAAATGCTTAACATGCGGTAAATCATTTAATATGCTTAGTCATGTAAAAAGTCATTTGTTGACACACTCTGGGAAGTCTCCTTATAGGTGTGTTACATGTGGGAAATGCTTTGTATCTAAAGGCAAATTGAAAGTACATACTATGGTTCATTCAGGAGAGCGACCTCATATATGCATTACTTGTGGAAAATCGTTTGTATATAAAAGCAATTTGAAAGAACATAGAATGGTTCATACAGGAGAGCGACCTCATATTTGCATTACTTGTGGAAAATCCTTTGTATCTAAAAGCAAATTGAAAAAACATACAATGGTTCATACAGGAGAGCGACCTCATAAATGCACTACATGCGAAAAGTCCTTTGTATCTACAAGCCAATTGAAGCTACATACAATGGTTCATACAGGAAAGCAACCTCATAAATGCATTACATGCGGAAAATGCTTTGTATCTACAAGCCAATTGAAGCTACATACAATGGTTCATACAGGAGAGCGACCTCATAAGTGTATTACATGCGGAAAATCCTTTGTAACTGAAAACAAATTGAAAGTACATAAAATGGTTCATTCAGGAGAGCGACCTCATATATGCATTACTTGTGGAAAATCGTTTGTATATAAAAGCTATTTTAAAATACATACAATGGTTCATACAGGAAAGGGACCTCATAAATGCATTACATGCGGAAAATGCTTTGTATCTGAAGGCAAATTGAAAATACATACAATGTTTCATACAGGAGAGAGACCTCATATATGCACTACTTGTGAAAAATCCTTTGTATCTAAAAGAAAATTGAAAGTACATACAATGGATCATACAGGAGAGCGGCCTCATAAATGTATTACATGCGGAAAATCCTTCGTATATGAAAGCAATTTGAAAGAACATAGAATGCTTCATACAGGAGAGCGACCTCATATTTGCATTACTTGTGGAAAATCCTTTGTATCTAAAAGCAATTTGAAAAAACATACAATGGTTCATACAGGAGAGCGACCTCATAAATGCACTACATGCGGAAAGTCCTTTGTATCTACAAGCCAATTGAAGCTACATACAATGGTTCATACAGGAGAGCGACCTCATAAGTGTATTACATGCGGAAAATCCTTTGTAACTGAAAACAAATTGAAAGTACATACAATGGTTCATACAGAAGAGCGACCTCATAAATGTATTACATGCGGAAAATCCTTTGTATCTACAAGCCAATTGAAGCTACATACAATGGTTCATACAGGAGAGCGACCTCATAAATGCACTACATGCGGAAAGTCCTTTGTATCTACAAGCCAATTGAAGCTACATACAATGGTTCATACAGGAAAGCAACCTCATAAATGCACTACATGCGGAAAGTCCTTTGTATCTACAAGCCAATTGAAGCTACATACAATGGTTCATACAGGAAAGCAACCTCATAAATGCACTACATGCGGAAAGTCCTTTGTATCTACAAGCCAATTGAAGCTACACACAATGGTTCATACAGGAGAGCGACCTCATAAGTGTATTACATGCGGAAAATCCTTTGTAACTGAAAACAAATTGAAAGTACATACAATGGTTCATACAGAAGAGCGACCTCATAAATGCACTACATGTGGGAAATCCTTTGTATCTAAAAGCAAATTGAAAGAACATACAATGGTTCATACAGGAGAGAGACCTCATAAGTGTATTACATGCGGAAAATCCTTTGTATTAAAATATAGTTATGAAAGGCATCTATTAATTCATGGCAATGGGCATCCTTATAAATGAAATACATGTAAAAAAGCCTTCAATTCAAAGGATAATTTGAAAAAGCATAAAATGTTTTTTAACTTTTTTCTGATAAAGGGTGTGCCAAAAACTGTCATTAGTTCCAATCTTGGAAAATTCAAATGTAAACATATGTCATGTCATACATCATTTTAAAGTTATTTAATAGACAAACATTTTACAGGAAGAAAAATTAATGATCTGTTTCCGTTTCTAAATAGTGGCAGTTTTTGGGAATTTGATTTTTGAAAATTCGCAAATGCTTATTGTTTTCAAATTGTACAATAGTAATAGGTATTTATGTATGTTTGCACAAAGATCTCAAAATCGGCTTCGAAGATTTTCTTTTCTTCAAATGTTGTAAATATATTACTTTTGGCCTAAAAACTAGTTTACTGCAGTTAGAATTGCCAACGAAAATCTAATCATGTAGAAAAAAGAAACGTACGGGAATTCAGTAGTCAGATAAAACCGTGTACAATTCAGATCGGCTAGTTTACACATAATAAAGACAAAGTTTCTTTCAGTTTTAATGTGAAAAATCATCTTGTAAACAAATGTTGTGTGACCAAATGTGTTTTTATTCCATCATAGACCTATACGATATGCATTTTAAATCCGATAGTTTTACAATAAAACAGCAATTCTGCAATTTTTACGATGTGAAAAGCGTTGAAGTGAGATTTGCAGCCGATTCACACAGACGCACACTGATTATAAGTAGCCTACAGTAGAGAGAATAATAGTCAATTGAGAAGTGTATAAATAGACCTAGTCAACGATACCACCTTCCATAGCATACCTGCCTCTTCCATAAATATTATCACCACAATACAACTACTATACACAATTTCCAGTAGGTCTGGATAGAAACAACCTAAAATAAAACGATAATATCCAATAAAATTCACAGTACACATAATTTAACTTTGATGTCCTAACATCAAAACTAATCGTCACACCTATCCCTTATATCAATTTCACTGCATTAATTGCTAAATAAATAAGCGTAAACAAAGAAAAGTAAAAACAATAACAGTTTGTTTTGAAACAGCTGTTTGGTTCAAATAACATTCATTTGAAAAAAAAAACTGGTCACATGTAGCAGGAATATAAAAAGTAAACACGATAGTAAAGCTAATGACGTAATTGCCAATGTTTATTATCCATACCGTTATCAGTTCTATCCTTGATAATTACCCACCCTCATTGAATAAATGTACGTCGTAATTTCCCAGATTATTTAATTTAAACTACAATATATTCATAGTTGAAATAAAAATTATATTTTCACGTTTGGGAGCGCTGATACAGGCACCACAACTGAACACGATTTCATAAAAGGATGGTTTGTCTAATTGCAGTATCCTAGGTCAATTTTGACGTTGTGTTCAATCTATTTCATCCATCTGTTTGTCTTTGTATAAAACCCGGCTAAGGATGTAGTGGTAATTTATAATCGTGATTCCTGATTCTGATTATTCTTGATCTTCTTTTTATGACATCAATATTTCCGGGCCTAATCCAAACAAAGTTAAAGCAGACAAACATTAATTGTAAACAAAAAGCAACCATGAAGAATTAAAACATGTAAACATCGTTATTTTTCTAATCTGTCCTTGAAAAGTGTAGCAGTAAAATAATTTGCATTTATCCTTTTTTATTAAGACTCGTGTACAGAGCCTCGATTTGTACTGTGGTTTAATTAATTTTGGTTAAAACTGTGGTTTAAACTGTGGTATAATTATCTCTACTAATCTTACTTATTTCCTATAATCAATAACAAAATAAGAGTAAATAAAATAACGTCATAGTTCCATAGTTTATATTTAACCAGCTGTTAGTTAAAACAAATTATTGCTCTAAAACAAATCGAAGAATACAAAGATTGCTTTAAAAAAATATTTGAACATCCTAGTATTTTACTATGTATATTTAATTAATCTGTCATCCTCTTACAGGAGAATTGAACGTATCAATGATTAGCATTACACATAGTATAAATAAGTCAACCCTAAGTATGTCTTTACATTTTTATCCAACTGCTGAATGTACAACAGCTGTTATGTTAAGCAAATTATTTCATGCCAAAAGCTAGTTTAGAATCTTAGCGTCCGCTGCTAGACTTTTTCAAAATTAAAACTTAATTTCTAAAAAAACTGGGGCCCTAAACTAAAATTATGGCTTCGACATTCCCTAGTTCTCAAAATTATCTTTCTTTCAACACAAAAATCATGAAAATCCGTCAAGTGGTTGATTCAGAATTGTGAAATAAAAAAACACTGTTTCGTTTTAATATTATAGATTATTTCAATAAATGGTTATTTGTGGCATATCACAGTAAAACTAATTTCATAACTAGTAAGAAAATTCAACAGGAGAAGGGCTAAGTGTATTTGTAAAGGAAACGCAGTGAATTAAAAACATATTGATTCTTCCCAAATAAAAAACCACCACCATTTGGAAACAAAAACAGATCATTCATTTATGTTTTCGCCAAAATGTTTGTCTATTAAATAACTTTAAAATGGTCTACAACATGACATATGTTAACATTTGAAAATTCCGAGATTCGAACTAATGACGCTCAGTGTTTTTTTTTTTATCAATTATCAATTATGAATTATCAATTATTTAAGATGGGGACGCCACTATGTGCGTATTTTAACCCAAATATGAGTGAAGGATGAGTGTAGGATGAGTGGCGCGATCTTGTAGTCTTGTTAGTGACTAAGGCCGACATGTTCCTTAGACACAGCTGTTAATTAATAGCCCATACAGCTAATGGCAACTAAGGGACCTACAGTTTATAGTGGAATCCGAACCACATTTTTCCTTGTAATTTACGAATTGGTCTGATTATCAAGATGTTTGGCACACCTTGTATCGGAAAAATATATTTTTACGTTATTCCTTGGAGTTAATTTAGCGGGAAATAATTTTATTTCATCCTTGTACGTTAAGCCGTTTTTTTTTTCACAATCAATTTGAGACACCCTGTATAGCTGTATTTTTTTCAGTGGGATAATACTTTAGATGAGATTAACTTCTTGCAGGCTCCCAAACACTTATTGACACTTAATAACTTAGTACAGTAGAACCTCTTTAATCCGAACTAATTGGGACCAGGGGTAGTTCGGACTATTGAATTGACTATTGAACATATTGTTGTTTTTACATAACAATAGCTAAAACATGGCTAAAATTTATCAAAATTATTTTGGGAAAAGTAAAAAAATGTTTTATAAAGTAAAATACAGTGTTTATTTAATACAGTAGTAAATATGGTAAATAAACAGTACTGTAAATTAAATACAGTATACAATAAAGAACTGCTATACTGTGTATAGTGTACAGCAATGAGGGTTTCGGATTAGTGGACGTTCGGATTACGGGGGTTCGGATTAAAGAGGTTCTACTGTAACTTCGTCTTCTGAATTTTTACTGTTTATAGTCAAAAATTGTAGGTAAAAGAAATATGAATAAACATAAATCAGTACACAGAATACTTTGGTACTTTATTTATCCTGCCCTGGCATAGACCGATTGTCCAATCTTCTGCCATAAGAAAACCCACTCGTCAAGTTCTGAATAGTTTTCTATTTACTACTGGGCTATAGTACTTAAAAAAATCTTAATATTATCTGGAAAATTTAGGTGAAACTTAACAAAGAAGTATTATAATGATGAGCGCAAGGAGATAACAACTAATGTATTGTATTCAGACCAAATCTGACAAGGAGAATAACGTAGAAATATCACTATAAGACAATATTGTGAAAAACTTGAATTATCTTGCAAGAACCTGTCCAAACTTTGATGAGTTAGTTGAACGTCTGTAAGGCTTCATGCAGTACGGAGAACTTAGAGATCGTTGGAATCGTCTTATCTAAGAATAAAGATATATGAGCTGTCTTCAAGTCAGCTGCATTATTCTATTTGAGGTAAAAAAATATCTTGGTTGTGGTTTAAAGGAGTGAAATATTCATATAAAAAAAAGCTTGTAGTGTTCAAACTAACGGATGGAAGAGTCAACATCTGCTGTTTAGCAAACACATAAATCATTTAAGTACTTTTAATAAATATGAGGAATATATGTAATAGCTACATTATAGTAATCAAGGGTAAATATTTTTAACATTATAATGTTATAATAAGTTTTGCATTTTCTAGAAACAAATTATGAATGAGAATACGATGCTGGGCCATTTTTCTGAAATAAAATATGAAAAGCTCTGATTGTAGAAATAGTGTACTGCTGGTATTTTTACAAGATAAAATAAATCTCAAGTGGTATATTATATATTAAAGTTAAAATTACCGCTAAATTTAATTGACCACTAATTAAGTTTAGATTTGCTCAGTGTAGTATGTGTCTTAGGACTTATTTCTCAGTCAAGCTGTAAACCCTTGTTTAGTTACTTGTATGAAAGTATTTTCATTGCCAATAGAGAGTTAACAGTATTAAAAGTACTTTAATACTTTTTTATTAAATGGCGACCATACAAACTAGGTATTTTAAGCCAAGTATTAAAGTAGATGAGTGCAGGATGAGTGTCGCGATCTTGTAGTCTTGTTAGTGACTAAGGCCAACGTTCCTTAGACACAGCTGTTAATCAATAGCCATATAGCTAATGGCAACTAAGGGACCTACAGTTTTAGTTTATAGAGGAATCCGAACCACATTTTTGCCTTGGTATATACGAATTGGTCTAATTATCATATAGTACTGCGGATAGTTATAGTACTCACTCGTGCGGACGTTAATCCACACCAGGGATTATCGCATCCACAGTGCATGCATGAGAATAAATAAACTGTTGTACCTATCTTGTTTATGGATATATTTTAATCAAATTCGGAAATTTTTGTTAACTTCACTACGCTATAAAAATTTCAATAAAAACACACCTCATTACCGTCCCTGTAGTAGCAGACCTAAGTAGGCTACTCATTAAAAATAATATTATTTAAATAAAAAATAAATCTGACAATTTTAAAGGGGAATTTTTTTGGGGAAATCCGGTCATGTTAAAGGGAAATTCTCTTAGACTAGAGGTTTTGCTGTGGCTGGGTATTATAATTACATAAAGGTTGTAATTTCCTTGACAGCCATTACACTGTCTAACACCCTATGATTTAATTTGAAAAGATAAACTTATTGAAAAGAGTACTTACTTACAAAACCCTACTTATATTTGATGCAGTGTTGCCGATTTCTTGGGAATTCCCCGGAATATTGGGTTGGTTGTTGCATGGATTTTCCAAGGATTTCATTGTACTAACTTAAAAAAATATATAAATTTAAATATATTATTAAAATTTTATGTGATATAAAAAATAATATTGGACAATATTTAAATTTACGATTCAGTATTTGGGTTGCTTGTGAAGGCAGTGGCAAAAAACAGTAAGTTACAAAAATACATTTCTTGCAAATCATCAGTGAATTGGATTGGATGGCAATGACTGGACTGGGATTGGAACTGAACCCACAGATTAAAAACCAAAGCGAAGCACTATTGACTGTTTCAAGAGTATGTTTTTCTATGGTTAGTGTTTAGATCTGATCCCCGCAACTCTCCAGCGAGAGGACAAGTGCAGAAGCACAAAGCAAGACTGTATGGCCATGGTTGATGATCACAGCATGTATTAATGATTTATATTCTCCTAAAATTAAAATCTTGTGTTGTATGACAGCAACATTATTGCTACTAAATAATGGAGAAACAATTTGCTGAATTTTAATTTTACTATGGAAGACTTGAGATATTATATTTTGCTCTCTCGTGTATTGATGTGATTTTATTCTGTTAACCAGATGAAGCATTAGCATGTGTATGAACTAACCAACGTACAGTATTAGCTTTGACGATTGAGTACCCTAAAGTCAATGGTAAGCTTTGGATAATATTATGAGCTCTGAAAATCCGAATGAAATTGTATGAGTAGAGTTTTAGCATAGATTAAACATACTCTCTTATTGATAAGTCATCATCCGTATGGATCAGAAAGACAATTTCAATGTTAGTTACGACCGGTTTTATATGGGGATGTGTTTTTGTTTACAATTTGCTTATCATTGTATACAATTCTGTAAGAAAACATATTTACCAGAAAATTGTGGACGTCAGGTAAGTCGCAGAAAAGTGGAAGAGGTCTTAAATTAAAGGTCTTGACCCCAGGGACTCGGGAAAACAGCAGAATTCCCATAAATTTGCCAGAAAACGAGATATAACGTAAATTGTTCTCCATAAGAATAGCATTAGAAGCCATTTACTGCTGATTTTGTTTACCTCAATACAGCTGATCGTGATGTATCATTAAGCCAGTGGGCAATATTACATTTGGATATCACATTTGCCAGTCAATTCTGCAATGTAATGTACATTATATAAAACCAGGGATAACATTACCTATCATGGTTAACTATAATAATTAAGTCATTTTAGTTACGACTTAGAAAGTTGAAATCCATTAAAAAAAAACCAAATCAATTTGGTTTTTAACATTTCTTTTCGTAACAGTATTGTATGCAGAAAATCCTCAGAATCTAACAGGGATCCAAAATTATTTTGGGGCATAGTTAGTGAAATATCAGGCAGAAATTGCTCTAAGGACCATTTTCCATTTGAAAAAGTTTTACCTGGTTCTACGAATAATGTGAACATGAAGACTAAAATAGCAAACGATTTCAATAAGTTCTTTACATCAGTAGGTTCTAAATTGGCCAACTCAATCAATGCAGCTGGGGCTCCAGTCGTAAACGACGCTGACTTCTCACTCGACACGAATTTCACATTCAACACAGTCACTCACGCTGACATAGAACGTTACGTCCAGGGTCTGCGCGGAGGGTCTGCACCTGGCCATGATGGTATCTCGGCCTTTGTTCTTAAAGAAAACATCCACTCTCTATGTGCTCCTCTTCTGCACATTGTCAATCTTAGCCTGACATCTGGCATATTCCCAAAGGAGCTGAAATTGGCCAAGATCATTCCATTGCACAAATCCAATGATTTCACAGACATGAATAACTATCGTCCGATTTCTTTGTTAAGTGTAATCGCTAAGCTTTTAGAGAAAATTTCTAAAGACCAACTTGTTTTTTACCTCCACCAGTGTAATATTTTAAGTGAAAATCAGTATGGTTTCAGGAGTGACAAAAACATATCTGATGCTTTATTTGATATTAATAAATGCATTAACGAGGCAATTTATGGCAACAAACGAAGTATGTTAATATTTTTAGACTTGAAAAAAGCTTTCGACTCAGTGGACAGAAGTCGATTGTTGCGTAAACTTGAGCTTGTCGGGGTGCGCGGCACCTCGCTCGCTTGGTTCAGCAGCTACCTCTCTGATAGGCTACAAACCGTCGCACTTGGTGAAGTGTCAAGCGATGTTTTGCCAGTGGAGTATGGTGTGGTCCAGGGTTCGACACTTGGTCCTGTTTTATTCCTCATTTATATTAATAATATTTCTAAAATTCAAACAGAAGGAAAATTAACATTATTTGCTGATGATACTCTAATATTTGTAACCGGATCATCCTGGGAGGAGGTTAAAAACAAGGCTGAATCAGACCTCTGTTTGCTAAAAAAATGGCTTGACCAAAATGTATTGTCTCTTAATATATCTAAAACCAAATTCATGCCAATTTCATTACGCAAGATAACCGAATACAAACTTGAAAACCTATCTATTCATGTCTGTGGAAGTCATTCCAATAACTCTTGTTTTTTGTAGCAAAATTGAAAAAGTTGATTCATACAAATATCTTGGTATTGTTTTTGATTCAAAGATGAAATGGTCGGAACATGTTGAATATCTAAAAAATAAATTACGTAAATATATTTATGCATTTAGGCAACTTAGTGATATACTCGAAGAGCAAGAAATTAAAATAGCATACTATGCATATGTTCAATCATTGTTATCTTTTGGAATTATTGCTTTTGGTGGTGCTTACAAAACTATCTTGCAACCTGTTTTTGTTGTACAGAAAACAATACTTAAAGTTGCTTTTAAAAAACACTTTAGATATTCAACTGACGACCTTTTTGTAGAAACGGGAGTTTTGACAGTCAGACAGTTATTTTTAAAATTTATTTTAGTTCACATGTACAAAAACTTTGATAATATTTTTATAAAAATTACTCATCCCCACAATACGCGCTTTTCTCGAAATGTTGGTATAAATGTTCCACAAACCTTAAAATCATTTTCACATACGAATTGCTTTCACTTAACCCAAATCATTTATCGTAACATGTGTAACAGATATCAAAATGTCAACATTCTAAATTCACCCTCTCTCTCTCTATTTAAGAAGCATGTAGTAGCGTGGCTTGTAGGATTGAGTGCAGAGGACACCGAGGCCGTTATCACGTTGGGCGGACCTGACCGTTGACCCTACACAATCACTGATACACCACCTTCACTGACTGACTAATTCACCACACTCCACCTCTCCTCTTCAATCTTCATCTGATTTTTATAAATTTCCTCAGTATTGTACAAAGAGTTTTTTTATCGTCAATTAATTCCAGAACACTAAAAATTCAGTTTCAAGCAAGAAAAAAAAAAATTTTAAATTTAAAATTATACGAATTATTTTTTGTTTTCCTATTCATTTTTTTTACCTCCCATCTAAATTAACCTTTTCGCAACTCGAGTCTACGCACAGGCCCTGCCTATGTAGACTTTTTCCTTTGTTAGAACGTATTTTTTTTGCACTTTTTTGCTTTATTTCTACAGAATATAATTTTTTGTTTTGTTATCTAGTTGTAATATTTGCTGTATTATATTTTAAGTAAAAAAAATACAATGTAATTATATGTATATAATTTATGGGAAATAAAATATTATTTCATTTCAATATTATTTCATTTCATTTCATTTCATTTCATTTCCTTTACATCTAAAAACAATTTAACTAGGATTGCTTTCATAGCAGTGAAAGCCAGTTGAGCGGAACAATCGTGTTTCATGGTTTTTAATAAAACAATAAATGAACAAATATTTATAGATATAATACAAAATACAAATGTTCCAACACTCTGCACTGTTAGGCTTTATTACTACTTCCTTCTCCACTTCCAACGTCGTGAACCTGTTTTCCTCCCTTCCCATAGCATTTTAGTATCGCATATATATTAATGTATGTAACTGCCAAAAACGTTTCCACACTCCGCAATGCCAATCTTTACTACTTTCTTCACCACTTCCTACGTCATGGATCTGTTCCCTTCCCTTCCCATAGCATTTTAGTACTGCAGAAACATTAATGTAACTGCAAAAAACGATTTCCCACACTCCGTACTGCCAGCTCTTACGACTTCCTTCACCACTTACTATGTCATGGACCTGTTTCCCTCCCTTCCCATAGCATTTTAGTATTGCAGATCCATTAATGTAACCGCCACAAACGTTTCCCACACTCCGCACTTCTCGCCTTTACTGCTTCCTTTACCACTTCCCACATCGTGGACCTGTTTTAGCTTGCCATGTATGAGATGGATCCCTGAATGTGATTCACCGACGAATTGTATAAGATAGTTTTATTTAACGTTATTTAGCTACGTAAATAAAATCTGTTAAATACTGTACCTAAGTTATATATGACTGTACCTTTTCGATCAGTGGTTGTTTCCAAATTGCGACTTACATAAAACTTTTGCTGTATTATTTGATCAGTTGTCGGTTTTTTCACTTTGTACTGTGTTTAAGTTGTGGCTTGATTTTAACATATGCCATGATTCTTTGTTTTGTTTACATTTACGTTGTTATTTTGTAACCATCATGGCAACCCATACGGTCAATGTAAAAATTAAAAACGTTGAGTTACTTTAAATTATATAGGCACCATCAAAAATTGAAATTGCTTACATCTAAGCCATCCAAACATTTGACAAAACAACCTTGATAAGTTTGGCTAAAATATGTTCAGCCGTTATTAAGATTAATTGTTATAAACATTAATTGAAGTTGATCCCAAAGAGGTTCGCTTCGCTCCACTCAAAAAACATACAATGGTTCATACGGGAGAGCGGCCTCATAAGTGGAAAATACTACATGTGGAAAATCCTTCTCAAGCAAAAGCAATTACAACAAACACATATAAATTGCACACATAAAACACATAAAAATTTGTAATACGTGTAAAAATGCCTTCAATTGTAAAGACAATTTGTATATACATATATTGGTCATAATAAATTATGTATGTGTGATGGTGTTTGTCTAATGAAAGTTCTGTTTTTTCAGGAATGAAAATAGAAGATCTCAGGCATAAGAAATAAGAACCAATTGCCAAACGAGTCCTTATTTGGATTGTACTTAGGACAACACCTCCCTCCACGGTAATACCTTGAACTTATAGAAATAACAGACTGAAGATTCATATGAACATGAAACATTACCAATAAACCTCCTGATTTTTGACTAGATATTCTGATAATCTGAGTTTCACAACAATAGAAAGTGCAAAGCTAAAAATGCCAAAGAAATCCAAAGAGCTTTTTCATAAGTGTCCAATATGTGGACAATCATTAATACCCCCGCCGCAGCAAACCTGCAGACTAAGCGAATTTCCATTTGACTGATTGGATTTACACTGAAATGTCTACTTAAAAATATAACATTTATTCTTGATTTAAATAGAATTAGTTTAACAAGTACTTAGGTTTGCTGCATCAGGAAGGGTAAAACTGTTTTTTTTTTTTTGTAAAATGTGAATAGTTAGTAAGAAATAAAAACAATTTCCAAATTTGATCAAAATATGTTCACAAACAAGCAAACTAGAACAGTTTACTTATTCTCCATAAGAATAACATGGGAATTTTAAATTTACAATTTTTTGGAATTTTCTCCGTAACCATTAGGCGCATAATAACGCTTCAATATACTAAATTATTTGTTTTTTTAAGCTCTACAAAATGGTTTGGAAAGAAATTGCTAAATTTTATGTTTTTTAGGTCAAAAATGGGAAAAACCTAATTTTACCCCATAAAACCCCCCGTAAACCCCCGTTCCCATGGTCCGATCATGCTGGATCGCGAACTCGTTCGAATAAACGTACGTTTACACGTTTGATCGGATCATTTTTGCTCGAGTTATCGTGCTGACGGACACATATATATATATATATATATATAAATATATATATATATATGAATTTGAACGGATGGTGTTTTTGGCCTCTAGGGACCTCAAAACGAAAAAGAAAATCGGTCCCGTGTCCAGGTCTTACCATGAGTACTACGGTAATAGCTTATTCCCTATATGGGAAATTCGCTAAAAACGAAATATCAAATGAATGTTCATATATTAAAACATACGAACGAACACCCTTATAAATGCTTAAAATGCGGTAAATCATTTAATCAGCTATGCCATGTAAAAAGACATTTGTTGACACACTCTGGGAAGTCTCCTTATAAGTGTGTTACATGTGGAAAATCCTACATATCAAAACAAATGTATAAATCACATATATTAATTCATGGCAATGAGAGTCCTCATAAATGCATTACATGCGGTAAATCCTGTGTATCTAAAAGCCAATTGAAATTGCATACAATGGTTCATACAGGAGAGGGACCTCATATCTGCATTACTTGTGGAAAATCCTTTGTATCTAAAAGCAATTTGAAAGTACATACAATGTTTCATACAGGAGAGCGACCTCATATATGCATTACTTGTGGAAAATCCTTTGTATCTAAAAGGGAATTGAAAGTACATACAATGGATCATACAGGAGAGCGGCCTCATTAATGTATTACATGTGGAAAATCCTTTGTATATAAAAGCAAATTGAAGGTACATACAATGGTTCATACAGGAGAGTGACCTCATATATGCACTACTTGTGGAAAATCCTTTGCATTAAAAAAAAGTTATAAAAGACATCTATTAACTCATGGCGATGGACATCCTTATAAATGTAATACATGTAAAAAAGCCTTCAAATCAAAGGATACTTTGAAAAAACATATTTTGGTTCATACGGGAGATAAACACAACTGTACTACAGTGGGAACTCCTTCTTAAAGCAAAGGCAATTGTAAGAATCATGTATTAATTCATTGCAATTAGCATACTTATAATTGCTTCACATGTGAAAAATCCTTTGTATCTGAAAGAAAATAACATCAATTGGTATATACAGGAGAGTGACCTCATTATTTGTAAAGAATCCTCTTATAAATAATTTATGATAAATTTATATTACTGTAAGTCATGTACCTAAGTGTCCCTATAACTTGTTTAAAAAAAATTTAATTTAAAATAGTAATTGAAAAAAAACGTACAATGAATCATACCAGAGCAACTTTAAACTGTTTGTAATTTACATACTGCCGTGGCTCCATAAATCTCAGTTGATTCTTCGCCTCGTGTACCAGCTTCTTCCATCCGAACTGTCTTCTGCCAAGTTGATGTTTGCACAGATTGTCCTAACATCATTCAATACTTGGTCAGTCCATCTGAATTTCGGCCTTCCCAATGTACGTTTACTTCCAGTTGTAGCTCTCCAAACTTCGTACACTCTTTTTTTCTTTCTCTCTTTTTGGCACATGCCCTATCCAACTTATCCTTCTTCATTTAACCATTGCAACAATATCCGGTTCGATGTATAGTGATCTTATCACTCTATTTTTCCTTATCCGACACATACTCTCTGTTTTAGTTGATTCTGGGGATAAATAAACGTTTTTCAATTTCACATTTCTCCCTCTCAAATATTTTTCTTAGGGCTTTATTTTCAAATACCATGAGTCATTTTTCATTATTCTTGGACGGTACCCATGTTTCACATCCATATAACAGAATAAGTTAAATTATTGTCTAAAGGATGAAATAAAATTATTCTCCGCTAAATCGACCCAAGGAATAAGGTAAAAATGTTTTTAACTTTTTCCGATACAGGGTGTGCCAAAGACTGTAATTTGGTTCCAATCTCGGAAAATTGAAATGTCAAAGAATTTCATAAAAAACCTCATATGTCATGTCGTACATCATTTTAAAGTTATTTAATAGGCAAACATTTTACAGGAAGCAATAATTAATTATCTGTTTCCGTTTCAAAATGGTGGCAGTTTTTGAGAAAAAATTAATATGTTTTTATTACTCTGTGTTTCCAATACAAATGCAGTTAGCCCTTCTCCGGTAAAATTATCGTACTAGTTATAAAAATAACTTTACTGTGTTATGCTACAATTTATATTGAAATAATTAAAATTCCAAAAATTTGATTTTTGAAAATTTGCAAATGCTCATTGTTTTCAAATTTTCCAATAGTAGGTATAGGTATTTATGTATGTATGTTTGCACAAAGATCTCGAAAACGGCTTCGAAAATTTTCTTCAAATGTTGTAAATATATTACTTCTGGCATAAAAACGAGTTTACTGCAGTTTGAACTGCCAACAAAAATCTAATTACGTAGAAAAATGAAACTGAAAGTCACATTTTTTTTAACTAACTTTAAAATGGTGTATCACATGACATATGTTTATATGTTTACGTTTGAAAATTCCGAGATTGGAACTAATGGCCCTCAGTTTTTGGCACACCCTGTATCGGAAAAAATATTTTTACGTTATTCCTTGGAGTTAATTTAGCGAGAAATAGTTTTATTTCCCCCTTGTACGTTAAGAAGTTTTTTTTTTCACAATCAATTTGAGACACCTCATGTGGGACACCCTGTATAGCTGTATTTTTTTCTGTGGGATAATACTTTAGATAAGATTAACTTCTTGCAGGCTCCCAAACACTTATTGACATTTAATAACTTAGTAACTTCGTCTTCTGATTTTTTACTGTTTATAGTCAAAACTTTTAGGTAAAATAAATATGAATAAACATAAATCAGTACACAGAATACTTTGGTACTTTATTTATCCTGCCCTGGCTTAGACCGATTGTCCAATCTTCTGCCATAAGAAAACCCACTTGTCAAATTCTGCACCTTTTTCTTTCTACTACTGGGCTATACTTCTTTAAACAAATCTCAGTGTTATTAGGCAAATTTATGTGAAACATAACAAAGAAGTATTATAATGATGAGCGCAAGGAGATAGCATCTGATGTATTGTATGCAGAACAAATCTGACAAGGAGAATAACTTAGAAATGTCACTATAAGACAATATTGTGAAAAGCTTGAATTATCTTGCAAGGACCTGTCCAAACTTTGATGAGTTAGTTGAACATCTGTAAGGCTTCGTGCAGTACAGAGAACTTAGAGATCATTGGAATCGTCTTATCCAAGAATAAAGATATATGAGCTGTCTTCAAGACAGCTGCATTATTCTATTTGAGGTAAAAAATATCTTGGTTGTGGTTTAAACGAGTGAAATCATACTAATATTATAAATGTGAAAGTTTGTGTGTTTGTTTGAAGTTCAATCACGCAATAACCACTGGACGGATTGGGCTGAAATTTGGCATGATGATAGCTCACATTCCCGATTAACATATAGATGTATTATTATCTCAAAAATCCTTTCGGGCTCCGCCCCAGAGGCTCTGCAGTTCCCCATGTTAACCTTATGAATATTCATATTTAAAGAGAATTAAAGAATTTAGTCAGCTGTTTTAACTAAAATAGTTGTTTCTATGATATACAAAATTAAAAAAGTTATAAGATTTACCAACAGGGTGCAGTACTATTATTTTTTTACATTTATTTAAACAGCTAATTTGAACTAAGCAGCAACAAAAAACTGTGATACGCAATGAGAACTGTCAAAGTAGGATTGTTTACAGTTAGTTATGTTTATGTTTTTAATGTCATGAATATTTTTTAATGTAATGAAATTGAATAAGTAAAGTATTAGCTTGGATTAAACATACTCTCTTATGGATAAGTCATCATCCGTATGGATCAGAAAGACAATTTCAATGTTAGTTACGGCCAGTTTTATGTAGGGATGTGTTTTTTTTTTACAATTTGCTTATTTTTATATATAATTCCGTAAGAAAATCTTTTACTAGAGAATTTGTGGACGTCTGGTAAGTTGCAGAAAAGTGGGAGGGGTCTTAAATTAAAGGTCTTGGCCGCAGGGACTCGGGGGAAAATATCAGAATTCCCATAAAGTTACCAGAAAACAAGATATAGCCAAAATGTTCTCCATAAGAATAGCATTTGAAGCCAATTATGCTGATTTATGTTTACTTCGATACAGCTGATCGTGATGTATCATTAAGCCAGCAGGCGATATTACATTTTGGATTACTCATTTGCCAGTCAATTCTGCAATTTACTGTACACTATGTAAAACATGGGATAACGTTACCTATCACGGTTACCTTTAATAACCAAGACTTTTTAGTTACTTCTTAGAAAGTTGAAATCCATAAAAAACATATCAATTTGGTTTTTAACATTTCTTTTCACAACAGTTTTGTAAACGGAAGATCCTTTGTATATAAAAACAATTTAAAATAATATGGCTTTATAAGTGGAAAATACTACATGTGGAAAATCCTTCTCAAGCAAAAGCAACTACAACAAACACATATAAATTCAAAGCAATGAGCATCCTTATATTTGTAATACATGTAAAAAGGACTTCAATTGTAAAGACAATTTGTATATACATATATTGGTCATAATAAATTATGTATGTGTGATAGTGTTTGTCTAATGAAAGTTGTGTTCTTTCAGGAATGAAAATAGAAGAACTCAGGCATAGGAAATAAGAACCAATTGCAAACGAGTCCTAATTTGGATTGTACGTAGGACAACACCTCCACGGTAGTACCTTGAACTTATAGAAATAACAGACTGAAGATTCTTATGAACATGAAACATTACCAATAAACTTCCTGATTTTTTACTAGAAATTCTGATAATCTGAGTTTCACAACAATAGAAAGTGCAAAGCTAAAAATGCCAAAGCAATCCAAAGAGCTTTTTCATAAGTGTCCAATATGTGGACAATCATTAAAAATGAAATATCAAATGAAGGTTCATATATTAAAACATACGAACGAACACCCTTATAAATGCTTAACATGCGGTAAATCATTTATTAAGCTAAGTCACGTAAAAGGTCATTTGTTGACACACTCTGGGAAGTCTCCTTATAAATGCATTACATGTGGGAAATGCTTTGTATCTAAAGGCAAATTGAAAGTACATACAATGGATCATACAGGAGAGCAGCCTCATAAATGTATTACATGCGGAAAATCCTTTGTATATGAAAGCAATTTGAAAGAACATACAAAGGTTCATACAGGAGAGCGACCTTATATTTGCATTACTTGTGGAAAACCCTTTGTATCTAAAAGCAATTTGAAAGTACATACAAGGGGTCATACAGGAGAGCGACCTCATAAGTGTACTACATGCGGAAAATCCTTTGTATATAAAAGCAGTTTGAAAGTACATACAAGGGTTCATACAGGAGAGAGACCTCATATATGCATTACTTGTGGAAAATCCTTTGTATCTACAAGCCGATTGAAAGAACATTCAATGGTTCATACAGGAGAGCGACCTCATAAATGTATTACATGCGGAAAATCCTTTGTATCTGTAAGCAAATTAAAGGAACATACAATGGTTCATACAGGAGAGCGACCTCATATTTGCATTACTTGTGGAAAATCCTTTGTATTCAGAAGCAATTTGAAAATGCATACAATGGATCATACAGGAGAGCGACCTCATAAGTGCACTACATGCGGGAAATCCTTTGTATCTGAAAGTAAATTGAAAGTACATAATTGGTTCATACAGGAGAGCGACCTCATAAATGCACTACATGCGGGAAATCCTTTGTATCTGAAAGTAAATTGAAAGAACATACAATGGTTCATACAGGAGAGCGACCTCATAAGTGCACTACATGCGGGAAATCCTTTGTATCTGAAAGTAAATTGAAAGTACATACAATGGTTCATACAGGAGAGCGACCTCATAAGTGCACAACATGCGGGAAATCCTTTGTATCTGAAAGTAAATTGAAAGAACATACAATGGTTCATACAGGAGAGCAACCTCATAAATGCACTACATGCGGGAAATCCTTTGTATCTGAAAGTAAATTGAAAGTACATACAATGGTTCATACAGGAGAGCGACCTCATAAGTGCACTACATGCGGGAAATCCTTTGTATCTGAAAGTAAATTGAAAGTACATACAATGGTTCATACAGGAGAGCGACCTCATAAATGCACTACATGCGGGAAATCCTTTGTATCTGAAAGTAAATTAAAAGTACATACAATGGATCATACAGGAGAGCGACCTCATAAGTGCACTACATGCGGGAAATCCTTTGTATCTGAAAGTAAATTGAAAGTACATACAATGGTTCATACAGGAGAGCGACCTCATAAGTGCACTACATGCGGGAAATCCTTTGTATCTGAAAGTAAATTGAAAGAACATACAATGGTTCATACAGGAGAGCGACCTCATAAATGCACTACATGCGGGAAATCCTTTGTATCTGAAAGTAAATTGAAAGAACATACAATGGTTCATACAGGAGAGCGACCTCATAAATGCACTACATGCGGGAAATCCTTTGTATCTGAAAGTAAATTGAAAGAACATACAATGGTTCATACAGGAGAGCGACCTCATAAGTGCACTCCATGGGGGAAATCCTTTGTATCTGAAAGTAAATTGAAAGAACATACAATGGTTCATACAGGAGAGCGACCTCATAAATGCACTCCATGCGGAAAATCCTTTGTATCTAAAAGCAAATTGAAAGAACATACAATGGTTCATACAGGAGAGCGACCTCATATTTGCATTACTTGTGGAAAATCTTTTGTATTCAGAAGCAATTTGAAAATGCATACAATGGATCATACAGGAGAGCGACCTCATAAGTGCACTACATGCGGGAAATCCTTTGTATCTGAAAGTAAATTGAAAGTACATACAATGGTTCATACAGGAGAGCGACCTCATATTTGCTTTACTTGTGGAAAATCCTTCGTATCTAAAAGCAATTTAAAAGTACATACAATGTTTCATACAGGAGAGCGACCTCATATATGCATTACTTGTGGAAAATCCTTTGTATCTAAAGGCAATTTGAAAGCACATAGAATAGTTCATACAGGAGAGCGCCCTCATAAATGCACTACTTGTGGAAAATCCTTTGCATTAAAAAAAAGTTATAAAAGACATCTATTAACTCATGGCAATGGACATCCTTATAAATGTAATACATGTAAAAAAGCATTCAAATCAAAGGATACTTTGAAAAAACATATTTTGGTTCATACGGGAGATAAACACAACTGTACTACAGTGGGAACTCCTTCTTAAATCAAAGGCAATTGTAAGAATCATGTATTAATTCATTGCAATTAGCATACTTATAATTGCTTCACATGTGAAGAATCCTTTGTATCTGAAAGAAAATAACATCAATTGGTATATACAGGAGAGTGACCTCATTATTTGTAAAGAATCCTCTTATAAATAATTTATGATAAATTTATATTACTGTAAGTCATGTACCTAAGCGTCCCTATAACTTGTTTAAAAAACATTTAATTTAAAATAGTAATTGAAAAAAACGTACAATGAATCATACCAGAGTAACCTTAAACTGTTTGTAATTTACATACTGCCGTGGCTCCATAAATCTCAGTTGATTCTTCGCCTCGTGTACCAGCTTCTTCCATCCGAACTGTCTTCTGCCAAGTTGATGTTTGCACCCATTGTCCTAACATCGTTCAATACTCTGTCAGTCCATCTGAATTTCAGCCTTCCCAATGTACGTTTACTTCCAGTTGTAGCTCTCCAAACTTCATACAGTCTTGTTCCTTTCTCTCTTCTTGGCACATGCCCTATCCAACTTATCCTTCTTCCTTTAACCATTGCAACAATTTTCGGTTTGATGTATAGTGATCTTATCACTCTATTTTTCCTTATCCGCCACATACTCTCTGTTTTAGTTTATAATTCTTGGGATAAATAAACGTTTTTCATTTCATTTCACATTTCTCCCTCTTGCACTGGTCCAAATATTTTTCTTAGGACTTTATTTTCAAAAACCATGAGTCGTTTTTCATCATTCTTGGACGATACCCATATTTTACATCCATATAACAGAATAGGTTAAATTATTGTCTAATACAGGGTGTGTTATTGCCAGGTAAGGTGTCTAAATTGATACCAAAAATTGACTTACCGTACAAGGATGAAATAAAATTATTCTCCGTTAAATCGACCCAAGGCATAACGTAAAAATGTTTTTTAACTTTTTTCTGATTAAGGGTGTCCAAAAAACTGTCATTAGTTCCAATCTTGGAAAATTCAAATGTAAACATATGTCATGTCATACATCATTTTAATGTTATTTAATAGACAAACATTTTACAGGAAGAAAAATTAATGATCTGTTTCCGTTTCTAAATAGTGGCAGTTTTTGGGAATTTGATTTTTGAAAATTCGCAAATGCTTATTGTTTTTAAATTGTACAATAGTAATAGGTATTTATGTATGTTTGCACAAAGATCTCAAAATCGGCTTCGAAGATTTTCTTTTCTTTAAATGTTGTAAATATATTACTTCTGGCCTAAAAACGAGTTTACTGCAGTTAGAATTGCCAACGAAAATCTAATCATGTAGAAAAACGAAACTGAAAGTCACATTTTCTTAACATTAGTCTTAGGGGTTGATAAGTAACCATGTTGGTTGAATTAAATAACAAGGAAAAAGTAAACAAAAGACAAATATGTCAAGTGGCACATCATTTTATAGGGTTTTCAATTCTTAACAACTTTTTTGTTTACACTTACTTCATATAACTTTTAGTTTTTGTCTAAATAATAAAATACCTAATTTTCCTATATCAAATACATTTTATTTGGGTTTAACCAAGGCCGCACTATTAACACTAATGGCCCCAATGACATATGTTGCTATTTAGAAACTTTAAACAATGGGCATTTGCAAATATTCATAAATAATTTTTTTTTTATTATTTCAATAAATGGTCATTTGGTGCATATCACATTAAAACTAATTTCATAAATAGTAAGAAAATTCAACAGGAGAAGGGCTAAGTGTATTTGTAAAGGAAACGCAGTGAATTAAAAACATATTGATTCTTTCCAAATAAAAAACCACCACCATTTGGAAACAAAAACAGATCATTCATTTATGTTTTTGCCAAAATGTTTGTCTGTTAAATAACTTTAAAATGGTCTACAACGTGACATATGTTTACATTTGAAAATTCCGAGATTCAAACTAATGACGCTCAGTGTTTGGCACACCCTGTATCGGAAAAATATATTTTTACGTTATTCCTTGGAGTTAATTTAGCGGGAAATAATTTTATTTCATCCTTGTCATTAAGCCGTTTTTTTTTCACAATCAATTTGAGACACCCTGTATAGCTGTATTTTTTTCAGTGGGATAATACTTTAGATGAGATTAACTTCTTGCAGGCTCCCAAACACTTATTGACACTTAATAACTTAGTACAGTAGAACCTCTTTAATCCGAACTAATTGGAACCAGGGGTAGTTCGGACTATTGAATTGACTATTGAACATATTGTTGTTTTTACATAACAATAGCTAAAACATGGCTAAAATTTATCAAAATTATTTTGGGAAAAGTAAAAAAATGTTTTATAAAGTAAAAGTACAGTGTTAATTTAATACAGTAGTAAATATGGTAAATAAACAGTACTGTAAATTAAATACAGTATACAATAAAGAACTGCTATACTGTGTATAGTGTACAGCAATGAGGGGTTCGGATTAGTGGACGTTCGGATTACGGGGGTTCGGATTAAAGAGATTCTACTGTAACTTCGTCTTTTGAATTTTACTGTTTATAGTCAAAAATTGTAGGTAAAAGAAATATGAATAAACATAAATCAGTACACAGAATACTTTAGTACTTTATTTATCCTGCCCTGGCATAGACCGATTGTCCAATCTTCTGCCATAAGAAAACCCACTCGTCAAGTTCTGAATAGTTTTCTATTTACTACTGGGCTATAGTACTTAAAAAAAATCATAATATTATCTGGAAAATTTAGGTGAAACATAACAAAGAAGTATTATAATGATGAGCGCAAGGAGATAACAACTAATGTATTGTATTCAGACCAAATCTGACAAGGAGAATAACGTAGAAATGTCACTATAAGACAATATTGTGAAAAGCTTGAATTATCTTGCAAGAACCTGTCCAAACTTTGATGAGTTAGTTGAACATCTGTAAGGCTTCATGCAGTACGGAGAACTTAGAGATTGTTGGAATCGTCTTATCTAAGAATAAAGATATATGAGCTGTCTTCAAGTCAGCTGCATTATTCTATTTGAGGTAAAAAAAATATCTTGGTTGTGGTTTAAAGGAGTGAAATATTCATATAAAAAAGAGAAATAAAAAAAAGCTTGTAGTGTTCAAACTAACGGATGGAAGAGTCAACATCTGCTGTTTAGCAAACACATAAATCATTTAAGTACTTTTAATAATTATAAGGAATATATGTAATAGCTACATTATAGTAATCAAGGGTAAATATTTTTAACATTAAATGTTATAATAAGTTTTGCATTTTCTAGAAACAAATGATGAATGAAAATACGACGCTGGGCCATTTTTCTGAAATAAAATATGAAAAGCTCTGATAGTAGAAATAGTGTACTGCTGGTATTTTTACATGATAAAATAAATCTCAAGTGGTATATTATATATTAAAGTTAAAATTACCGCTAAATTTAATTGACCACTAATTCAGTTTAGATTTGCTCAGTGTAGTATGTGTCTTAGGACTTATTTCTCAGTCAAGCTGTAAACCCTTGTTTAGTTACTTGTATGAAAGTATTTTCATTGCCAATAGAGAGTTAACAGTATTAAAAATACTTTAATACTTTCTTATTAAATGGCGACCATACAAACTAGGTATTTTAAGCCAAGTATTAAAGTAGATGAGTGCAGGATGAGTGTCGCGATCTTGTAGTCTTGTTAGTGACTAAGGCCGACGTTCCTTAGACACAGCTGTTAATCAATAGCCATATAGCTAATGGCAACTAAGGGACCTACAGTTTTAGTTTATAGAGGAATCCGAACCACATTTTTGCCTTGGTATATACGAATTGGTCTAATTATCATATAGTACTGCGGATAGTTATAGTACTCACTCGTGCGGACGTTAATCCACACCAGGGAGTATCGCATTCCACAGTGCATGCATGAGAATAAATAAACTGTTGTACCTATCTTGTTTGTACCTATCTTGTTTATGGATATATTTTTAATCAAATCCGGTAACTTTTGTTAAGTTCACTATGCTATCAAAATTTCAATAAAAACACACCTCATTACCGGCCCTGTAGTAGCAAACCTAAGTAGGCTACTCATTAAAAATAATATTATTTAAATAAAAATAAATCTGACAGTTTTAAAGGGGAATTTTTTGGGGGAAATCCGGTCATGTTAAAGGGAAATTCTCTTGGACTAGAGGTTTTGCTGTGGCTGGGGTATTATAATTATAATTACATAAAGGTTGTAATTTCCTTGACAGCCATTACACTGTCTAACACCCTATGATTTAATTTGAAAAGATAAACTTATTGAAAAAAGTACTTACTTAAAAAACCCTACTTATATTTGATGCAGTAATGTCGATTTCTAGGGAATTCCCCGGAATATTGGGTGGGTTGGTCCAGGGATTTCATTTTACTAACTTTAAAAATATTAAAATTTAAAAGTATAATTTAAATGTTTTATGTTAAAATGTGATATAAAAAATAATATTGGACAGTATTTAAATTTACGATTCAGTACTTGGGTTGCTTGTGAAGGCAGTGGCAAAAAACAGTAAGTTACAAAAATACATTTCTTGCAAATCATCAGTGAATTGGATTGGATGGAAATGACTGGACTAGGATTGGAACTGAACCCATATATTAAAAACCAAAGCGAAGCACTTTTGACTGTTTCAAGAGTATGTTTCTATAGTTAGTGTTTAGATCTGATCCCCGTCACTCTCCAGCGAGAGGACAAGTGCAGAAGCACAATGCACAAAGCAAGACTGTGGTCATGGTTGATAATCACAGCATGTATTAAATGATTTATATTCTCCTAAAAGTTAAAACTCGTGTTGTATAACAACAACGTTATTGCTACTAAATAATGGAGAAACAATTTACTGAATTTTAATTTTACTATGGAAGACTTGAGATATTATATTCTGCTCTCTCGTGTATTGATGTGATTTTATTCTGTTAACCAGATGAAGTATTATCATGTGTATGAACTAACCAATGTATTAGCGTTGACGATTGAGTGTCCTAAAGTCAATGGTAAGCTTTGGATAATATTATGAGCTCTGAAAATCCGAATGAAGTTGAATAGGTAGAGTTTTAGCTTAGATTAAACATACTCTCTTGTTGATAAGTCATCAACCGTATGGATCAGAAAGACAATTTCAATGTTAGTTACAGCCGATTTTATGTAGGGATGAGTTTTTTTTTTTTTTTTTACAATTTGCTTATCCTTATAAATAATTTCGTTAGGAAATTTTTTACCAAAGAATTGTGGACGTCTGGTAAGTTGCAGAAAAGTGGGAGGGGTCTTAAATTAAAGGTCTTGGCCGCAGGGACTCTGGAAAAATATCAGAATTCCCATAAAGTTACTAGAAAACGAGATATAGCCAAAATGTTCTCCATTAGAATAGCATTTAAAGCCAATTATTGCTGATTTATGTTTACTTCTATACAGCTGATCGTGATGTATCATTAAGCCAGCAGGCAATATTACATTTTGGATTACTCATTTGCCAGTCAATTCTGCAATTTACTGTACACTATGTAAAACCAGGAATAACGTTACCTATCATGGTTACCTATAATAATTAAGTCTTTTTAGTTACGTCTTAGAAAGTTAAAATTCATTAAAAACCCCATATAAATTTGGTTTTTAACATTTATTTTCATAACAGTATTGTGTGCAAAAAATTCTTTGTATCTAAAAACATACAATGGTTCATATGAGAGAGTGACCTCATCAGTGGAAAATACTACATGTGAAAATCCTTCTCAAGCAAAAGCAATTACAGCAAACGAATTAATTCAAAGCAATGAGCAACCTTATAATTGTAATACGTGTTAAAAGGCCTTCAATTGTAAAGACAATTAGTATATATATATATATTGGTCATAATAAATTATGTATGTGTGTTAGTGTTTATCTAATGAAAGTTGTGTTATTTCAGGAATGAAAATAGAAGAACTCAGGCATAAGAAAAAAGAACCAATTGCCAAACGAGCAATCCTAATTTGGATTGTACGTACAAAAGACGAGATGACAACACCTCCACGGTAATACCTTGAACTTATAGAAATAACGGACTAAAGATTCATATGAAAATGAAACATTACCAATAAAACTCCTGATTTTTGACTAGATATTCTAATAATCTGACTTTCACAACTATAGAAAGTGCAAAGCTAAAAATGCCAAAGCACTCCAAAGAGTTTTTTCTTAAGTGTCCAATATGTGGACAATCATTAAAAATGAAATATCAAATGAAGGTTCATATATTAAAACATACCAACGAACACCCTTATAAATGCTTAACATGCGGTAAATCATTTAATAAGCTGAGTCACGTAAAAAGTCATTTGTTGACACACTCTGGGAAGTCTCATAAATGCATTACATGCGGGGAATACTTTGTATCCAAAAGCCAATTGAAATTGCATACAATGGTTCATACAGGAGAGAGACCTCATATCTGCATTACTTGTGGAAAATCCTTTGTATCTAAACACAATTTGAAAGTACATACAATGTTTCATACAGGAGAACGACCTCATATTTGCATTACTTGTGGAAAATCCTTTGTATCTAAAAGCAAATTGAAAGTACATACAATGTTTCATACAGGAGAACGACCTCATAAGTGTTCTACATGTGGAAAATCCTTTGTATTAAAATATAGTTATGAAAGGCATCTATTAATTCATGGCAATGGACAAAGTACATTGAAAGTACATACAATGGATCATACAGGAGAGCAGCCTCATAAATGTATTACATGCGGAAAATCCTTTGTATATGAAAGCAATTTGAAAGAACATACAAAGGTTCATACAGGAGAGCGAACTTATTTTTGCATTACTTGTGGAAAATCCTTTGTATCTAAAAGCAATTTGAAAGTACATACAAGGGGTCATACAGGAGAGCGACCTCATAAGTGTACTACATGCGGAAAATCCTTTGTATATAAAAGCAGTTTGAAAGTACATACAAGGGTTCATACAGGAGAGAGACCTCATATATGCATTACTTGTGGAAAATCCTTTGTATCAACAAGCCGATTGAAAGAACATTCAATGGTTCATACAGGAGAGCGACCTCATAAATGTATTACATGCGGAAAATCCTTTGTATCTGTAAGCAAATTAAAGGAACATACAATGGTTCATACAGGAGAGAGACCTCATATATGCATTACTTGTGGAAAATCCTTTGTATCTACAAGCCGATTGAAAGAACATACAATGGTTCATACAGGAGAGCGACCTCATAAATGCACTCCATGCGGAAAATCCTTTGTATCTAAAAGCAAATTGAAAGAACATACAATGGTTCATACAGGAGAGCGACCTCATATTTGCATTACTTGTGGAAAATCCTTTGTATTCAGAAGCAATTTGAAAATGCATACAATGGATCATACAGGAGAGCGACCTCATAAGTGCACTACATGCGGGAAATCCTTTGTATCTGAAAGTAAATTGAAAGTACATACAATGGTTCATACAGGAGAGCGACCTCATATTTGCTTTATTTGTGGAAAATTCTTCGTATCTAAAAGCAATTTGAAATCACATACAATGTTTCATACAGGAGAGCGACCTCATATATGCATTACTTGTGGAAAATCCTTTGTATCTAAAGGCAATTTGAAAGCACATAGAATAGTTCATACAGGAGAGCGCCCTCATAAATGCACTACTTGTGGAAAATCCTTTGCATTAAAAAAAAGTTATAAAAGACATCTATTAACTCATGGCAATGGACATCCTTATAAATGTAATACATGTAAAAAAGCATTCAAATCAAAGGATACTTTGAAAAAACATATTTTGGTTCATACAGGAGATAAACACAACTGTACTACAGTGGGAACTCCTTCTTAAATTAAAGGCAATTGTAAGAATCATGTATTAATTCATTGCAATTAGCATACTTATAATTGCTTCACATGTGAAGAATCCTTTGTATCTGAAAGAAAATAACATCAATTGGTATATACAGGAGAGTGACCTCATTATTTGTAAAGAATCCTCTTATAAATAATTTATGATAAATTTATATTACTGTAAGTCATGTACCTAAGCGTCCCTATAACTTGTTTAAAAAACATTTAATTTAAAATAGTAATTGAAAAAAAACGTACAATGAATCATACCAGAGCAACCTTAAACTGTTTGTAATTTACATACTGCCGTGGCTCCATAAATCTCAGTTGATTCTTCGCCTCGTGTACCAGCTTCTTCCATCCGAACTGTCTTCTGCCAAGTTGATGTTTGCACCCATTGTCCTAACATCATTCAATACTTGGTCAGTCCATCTGAATTTCGGCCTTCCCAATGTACGTTTACTTCCAGTTGTAGCTCTCCAAACTTCATACAGTCTTGTTCCTTTCTCTCTTCTTAGCACATGCCCTATCCAACTTATTCCTCTTCCTTTAATCATTGCAACAATATCCGGTTCGGTGCATAGTAATCTTGTCCCTCTATTTTTCCTTATCCGCCACATACTCTCTGTTTTAGTTTATAGTTCTTGGGATAAATAAAAGTTTTTCATTTCATTTCATTTTTCATTTCAATTCACATTCCTCCCTCTTGCACTGGTCCAAATATTTTTCTTAGTACTTTATTTTCAAAAAACATGAGTTGTTTATCATTATTCTTGGACGATACCCATGTTTCACATCCATATAACAGAATAAGTTAAATTATTGTCTAATACAGGGTGTGTTATAGTCACGTAAGGTGTCTCAAATTGATACCAAAAATTGACTTACCGTACAAGGATGAAATAAAATTATTCTCCGTTAAATCGACCCAAGGCATAACGTAAAAATGTTTTTTAACTTTTTTCTGATTAAGGGTGTGCCAAAAACTGTCATTAGTTCCAATCTTGGAAAATTCAAATGTAAACATATGTCATGTCATACATCATTTTAAAGTTATTTAATAGACAAACATTTTAGAAGAAGAAAAATTAATGATCTGTTTCCGTTTCTAAATAGTGGCAGTTTTTGGGAATTTGATTTTTGAAAATTCGCAAATGCTTATTGTTTTCAAATTTTCCAATAGTAATAGGTATTTATGTACGTTTGCACAAAGATCTCAAAAACGGCATCGAAGATTTTCTTTTCTTCAAATGTTGTAAATATATTACTTCTGGCCTAAAAACGAGTTTACTGCAGTTAGAATTGCCAACGAAAATCTAATCATGTAGAAAAAAGAAACTTAAAATCACATTTTCTTAACATTAGTCTTAGGGGTTAATAAGTAACCACGTTGGTTGAATTAAATTACAAGGAAAAAGTAAACAAAAGACAAATATGTCAAGTGGCACATCATTTTATAGGTTTTTCAATTCTTAACAACTATGTAGTTTACACTTACTTGATATAACTTTTAGTTTTTGAGTAAATAATAAAAAACCTAATTTTCCTATATCAAATGCATTTTATTTGGGTTTAACCAAGGCCGCACTATTTACACTAATGGCCCCAATGACATATGTTGCTATTTGGAAACTTTAAACAATGGGCATTTGCAAATATTCATAAATAATTTTTTTTTAATTTTTATTATCTATATATTAATACGCAAGCAGTTTTCTTTTCACAGTCATAACTCAATAACGGCTTGATGGATTTTAAAGTTTGAGGTGTCAAATTAAAGGTATTTTCACGTAGATGTGCAAATACGTCTCAGAATATTTAGAAAGGGCACCACTTAAGTACACTTAAGGGCTAAAGTTTGGAAGGCGGCGCTATCTGTTGACATTTGATCAAACTCATTTCCCTTTGTTTACAAATAACATATGGACGTAGTTTGAAATAGTTTTTAAGGTTAACCACAGACTGCAGGATTTAAAACTTCCAAATTAAAGCTGGAATTTATATTTTGTTTCAATCTGTTAACTAAGTCTGGTTCATAATGAAATAAAGTGTTTAAGAATAAATATTTAATAAATATTTAATTATTTTTGTCTATGGTTAAATTGATTTACCTTACATCGTATTTTACTGATTATCATGTAGTTACAGTTCGATGTGATGAAGTGAATGTTTGAAAGTGATTATTCACAGGGCAGTTATCCGTTACATTACCATATTATCATGTAATTTACAATGTGTATCAAAATTCCTATTCCTTTATAGTGTTTTCTGTTGTTTGGATAACATTCCTCTTTCATTTTAATTTAAAATCAAATGCCGCCAGTATGACGAAGAACTGTGAGTGGCTGGAGGGAACGCGAACATGACAGCTTGCATCAACCTCTCAATTGAAAATTTGATGGGAACATAGTGGTAGTACCACCGTTGTGATAGTCCAATCTCGGACAAATGAACGTTAAATGTTTACATTGTAGTGGCTTACATATTTTTAAGCAAGAAAAGACTGGCCGAGACAGTTAAGTTTGTAGGCTACTCTTTGTTGCCATAAATGAAAGGTTCGTTTACCTCATTTGTGCAATTCACCACAATAAACTTTCGGGTTCTTAATGGAAAATCCCAATCTGAAAATAGGACTGTGAGACTTATATCCAGAAATTATTTGGATAAAGTTCGTCAATTCAGTTCTGCCTTTACCATGGTCAGCTCCAAAGCTCATTAAGATGAGAAAGTTCCACAGGGGATCTACAATTTTAAGATCCGTGACACGTTTTACCACCGAGTGGGTCTTCTAATTCCTCAAGAAGGTGATGATCCTGAATATGCACAGATATTTAATTAAGTACGACAATTTCACAAGAACCCAAAGGAGAACTAAGCGCAATAAAAAAAAAATGCAATGAAAAAATATGCGGGAAATAGGGTCACAATGCCAACCCATTTGCAAATCTTTAAAGACTGTGGCAGACATCATGTAGGGACGAGAGCTCCGAGGAGTCAAGTGAGATTCTTATGTACATAATAAGAGACAGAAGAAGTGTCTTCCCTCGCTACAATGGTGCTACCTGTGTAGATTTCGCAGCGATTTTTAAAGCTGAAAACAAAGCACCACCTGGCCAAATAAATCGTATAGTTTTTTCCAACACTAATAATATTAAACACGTATCCATTATAGATCTGTCGTTAGATCCACTTGCTTACTCTCTTATGTTCCCAACCGGAGACTTGGGTTGGGGCCCCTAATTTAAATACGCCTAAAACAGAACACATCAAAGAAATAATTTAACAATGCTAGAATAAGAGTAGTGATGGTTGGCGTCAAGAGAGGAATTGAGCTACTAGGTCAAAAGCTCACTTTACAGTGTGTGGTTGACATCTACGTGCTCATAGAGTGCACCCACCTACTATACATAAGAGATAACCAAAGCAGTTTGAGAGTGAATGTAAATTTAAATATTGTAGATTGCTTTTATATTTTTTTACATCATAATATTTTTATATTTCTATAATCAGTCATATAAATTATTTTATAGTGACTCTTTGATTAGTCTTGCTGTTTATGTTTTTTGTTAATTTTTTTTACACAAGTTTCAGTTTTGCTCGATTTTGAGCAACAGGTTATCTAGTTTCAATTAACGGTTATTTGTGACATATCACAGTAAAACTAATTTCATAACTAGTTAGAAAATTCAACAGGAGAAGGGCTAAGTGTATTTATAAAGGAATTACAGTGAATTAAAAACATATTGATTCTTGCCAAATAAAAAACCACCACCATTTGGAAACAAAAACAGATCATTCATTTATGTTTTCGCCAAAATGTTTGTCTATTAAATAACTTTAAAATGGTCTACAACATGACATATGTTTACATTTGAAAATTCCGAGATTCAAACTAATGACGCTCAGTGTTTGGCACACCCTGTATCGGAAAAATATATTTTTACGTTATTATTTGGAGTTAATTTAGTAGGAAATAATTTTATTTCATCCTTGTACGTTAAGCCGTTTTTTTTCACAATCAATTTGAGACACCTTACGTGGGACACCCTGTATAGCTGTGTTTTTTTCAGTGCGATAATACTTTAGAAGAGATTAACTTCTTGCAGGCTCCCAAACACTTATTGACACTTAATAACTTATTAGTAACTTCGTTTCAGATTTTTTACTGTTTATAGTCAAAAATTGTAAAAAAATCTCAGTTGATTCTTCGCCTCGTGTACCAGCTTCTTCCATCCGAACTGTCTTCTGTCAAGTTGATGTTTGCACCCATTGTCCTAACATCATTCAATACTTGGTCAGTCCATCTGAATTTCGGCCTTCCCAATGTACGTTTACTTCCAGTTGTAGCTTACGTACGTTGTGATCTTATCACTCTATTTTTCCTTATCCGCCACATACTCTCCGTTTAAGTTGATTCTTGGGATAAATAAACGTTTTTCATTTAATTTCACATTTCTCCCTCTCAAATATTTTTCTTAGGGCTTTATTTTCAAAAACCATGAGTCGTTTTTCATTATTCTTGGACGGTACCCATTTTTCACATCCATATAACAGAATAAGTTAAATTATTGTCTAAAGGATGAAATAAAATTATTCTCCGCTAAATCGACCCAAGGAATAACGTAAAAATGTTTTTATCTTTTTCCGATACAGGGTGTGCCAAAGACTGTAATTTGGTTCCGATCTCGGAAAATTGAAATGTCAAAGAATTTCATAAAAAACCTCATATGTCATGTCGTACATAATTTTAAAGCTATTTAATAGGCAAACATTTTACAGGAAGCAATAATTAATTATCTGTTTCCGTTTCAAAATGGTGGCAGTTTTTGGGAAAAAATTAATATGTTTTTATTACTCTGTGTTTCCAATACAAATGCACTTAGCCCTTCTCCGGTAAAATTATCGTACTAGTTATAAAATTAGCTTTACTGTGTTATGCTACAATTTATATTGAAATAATTAAAATTCCAAAAATTTGATTTTTGAAAATTTGCAAATGCTCATTGTTTTTAAATTTTCCAATAGTAGGTATAAGTATTTATGTATGTATGTTTGCACAAAGATCTCGAAAACTGCTTCAAAAATTTTCTTCAAATGTTGTAAATATATTACTTCTGGCATAAAAACGAGTTTACTGCAGTTTGAACTGCCAACAAAAATCTAATTACGTAGAAAAATTAAACTGAAAGTTACATTTTTTTTAACTAACTTTAAAATGGTGTATCACATGACATATGTTTATATGTTTACGTTTGAAAATTCCGAGATTGGAACTAATGACCCTCAGTTTTTGGCACACCCTGTATCGGAAAAAATATTTTTACGTTATTTCTTGGAGTTAATTTAGCGAGAAATAGTTTTATTTCCCCCTTGTACGTTAAGAAGTTTTTTTTTTCACAATCAATTTGAGACACCTTACGTGGGACACCCTGTATAGCTGTATTTTTTTCTGTGGAATAATACTTTAGATGATATCAACTTCTTGCAGGCTCCCAAACACTTATTGACATTTAATAACTTAGTAACTTCGTCTTCTGATTTTTTACCGTTTATAGTCAAAAATTTTAGGTAAAAGAAATATGAATAAACATAAATCAGTACACAGAATACTTTGGTACTTTATTTATCCTGCCCTGGCTTAGACCGATTGTCCAATCTTCTGCCATAAGAAAACCCACTTGTCAAGTTCTGCACCTTTTTCTTTCTACTATTGGGCTATACTACTTTAAAAATATCTTAATATTATTTGGCAAATTTAGGTGAAACGGTGAAACGAAAAGAAGTATGATGAGCGCAAGGAGTGTAACAACTAATGTATTGTATGCAGACCAAATCTGATAAGGAGAATAACATAGATATGTCACTTTAAGACAATATTATGAAAAGCTTGAATTATCTTGCAAGGACCTGTCCAAACTTTGATGAGTTAGTTGAACATCTGTAAGGCTTCGTGCAGTACAGAGAACTTGGAGATCATTGGAATCGTCTTATCCAAGAATAAAAATATATGAGCTGTCTTCAAGACAGCTGCATTATTCTATTTGAGGTAAAAAATATCTTGGTTGTGGTTTAAACGAGTGAAATCATACTAATACAGTATTATAAATGTGAAAGTTTGTGTGTTTGTTTGAAGTTCAATCACGCAATAACCACTGGACGGATTGGGCTGAAATTTGGCATGATGATAGCTCACATTCCCGATTAACATATAGACGTATTATTATCTCAAAAATCCTTTCGGGCTCTGCCCCAGAGGCTCTGCAGTTCCCCATGTTAACCTTATGAATATTCATATTTAAAGGCAATTAAAGAATTTAGTCAGCTGTTTTAACTAAAATAGTTGTTTCTATGATATACAAAATTAAAAAAAGTTATAAGTTTTACCAAAGAAAATAGAACCTAAAGGTTATATTTTAAAAATTTTATAAAATTTTATTTTATTTTAAACCTTTAGGTTATATTTTCTTTGGTTTTACCAACAGGGTGCAGTACTATTATTTTTTAACATTTATTTAAACAGCTAATTTGAACTAAGCAGCAACAAAAAACTGTGATACGCAATGAGAACTGTCAAAGTAGGATTGTTTACAGTTAGTTATGTTTATGTTTTTAATGTCATGAATATTTTGTTATGAAATTGAATAAGTAGAGTATAAGCTTAGATTAAACATACTCTCTTATTGATAAGTCATCATCCGTATGGATCAGAAAGACAATTTCAATGTTAGTTACGGCCAGTTTTATGTAGGGATGTGTTTTTTTTTACAATTTGCTTATTTTTATATATATTTCCGTAAGAAAATCTTTTACTAGAGAATTTGTGGACGTCTGGTAAGTTGCAGAAAAGTGGGAGGGGTCTTAAATTAAAGGTCTTGGCCGCAGGGACTCGGGGGAAAATATCAGAATTCCCATAAAGTTACCAGGAAACAAGATATAGCCAAAATGTTCTCCATAAGAATAGCATTTGAAGCCAATTATTGCTGATTTATGTTTACTTCGATACAGCTGATAGTGATGTATCATTAAGCCCTGTACACACCGGAGCGATACTTTATCGCTGGGGACGCGCGATACTATTCCTAGAATTTTATCTGCGATACTTGGGCGATAATATCGCAGCGAAAACAGCTGCTTCCACACCAGAGCGGGAAAGGGGCGCGCGGGAAAGCCAGTACACCTCAGAGGGTGCGGTGGTTGTGAGGCTCTCTAGTTGCAAAAGTGTTGTGTTATAGTTAGTGTTTGTATACTGTACTGTGTGTAAACTTAAAACTATGACATGGTCTGATGAAGAAGAAGCCTTTCTGTTAACTAGCCGTGCTATTATAGAAGATTAGAGAGCAAGGAAAATGTGGGTATACGACATAAATAAAGAACGGCTGCGATTTGGCGAGTACCATATACGCTCATGACCCAGTCAAGAAAAGATTAAACAAGATTCTACATATTCTGGAATTAATCAAGAATGTTTTGACGAGTTGCTGAGTTTGATTTCTGGCATTATCGAAAAGGAAAGTACCCACTACCGTGAAGCGAGCGCCGAAGAACGGCTAGCAATCACTTTAAGGTTTTTTTTCCTAGGACGCTAGGCACGAGCCTGGGATTGTTGTTCACATTGCTTCAGGCTAGACCTAGGGGTTGCGGCATTACCAGTTAGATAAAATCCATTGGTGACTTGGCGGGGATCGAACCCGGGACCTCAGGGACTGGAGTCCCGCGCTATAACCACTACGCCAGCTCGCTCCCCAATCACATTAAGGTAAGACTGGTATGTAGATATATTTTTCAATGAGTTGACGGATCAATTAGCATTCCACCCACCTCCATTACCATCACCATTACCTACCATCTCTCTAGTTCGTCTAGTCTGACTAGCAAAACCTCTACAATATGCTGTGCTATAGCTAATACAATATTGTATGAACTATTAAATAGTAATTTGAATCATCATCAAACCAGTATTAAATACGTTATTCTGTCAGCAATCACCCAACATTGGATTGACAGCGGCACTGGAAAAACTATTGATAATTCAAATCAAATGTTTAAGTGTTAAAATAATTAATAAATCTAAGATGTCTGAATGTTTGGAAATTCTATTGTAAATTCTTCAGAAAAACGTAGTTTAATAACAAATAATGAAGACGAACCCTATTTTAAATTTCTAGTTGCTAAAACGTGATATAAATCATAGTGCATCGGGTATGTATAAACAACTTCAAGTAAATGTTCGGTGATACACGACATGTTGTTGTTGTTTTTACACGTACAGAGAAAATACAAAACTGAGTAGTTCATCGTTTGGCCACATTGGTATCGCCGCGATACAGCGCTGCAAACAGTGCATGCAGCGTTACCGCGATACTATCGCTACGGTATCGCATTCGCCTCAGTATCGCGTATCGCGGTTCGCTCTGGTGTGTGCGGCTCCATAAGGCTCCATGGTATCGCACGTACCACTGGTATCGCAAGAGAATTTCCAAGAAAAAGTATCGCGCCCGCTCCAGTATCGCACGGAGTATCGCTCTGGTGTGTGCAGGGCTTTAAGCCAGCATGCGATATTACATTTTGGATTACTCATTTGCCAGTCAATTGGTACTGCAATGTACTGTACACTATATTAAACCAGGGATAACGCTACCTATCATGGTTACCTATAATAATTAAGACTTTAGTTACGTCTTAGAAAGTTAAAATGCATAAAAAACATATGTTTTTAACATTTCTTTTCAAAACAGTATTGTATGCAGAAAATCCTTTGTATCTAAAAACAAACAATTTAAAAAACATACAATGGTTCATACGGGAGAGTGGCCTCATAAGTGGAAAATACTTTATGTAGAAAATCCTTCTCAAACAAAAGCAATTACAACAAACACATATAAATTCAAAGCAATGTGCATCCTTATATTTGTAATACATGTAAAAAGGCCTTCAATTGTTAAGACAATTTGTATATACATATATTGGTCATAATAAATTCTGTATGTGTGATAGTGTTTGTCTAATGAAAGTTGTGTTCTTTCAGGAATGAAAATAGAAGAACTCAGGCATAGGAAATAAGAGCCAATTGCCAAACGAGTCCTAATTTGGATTGTACGTAGGACAACACCTCCCTCCACGGTAATACCTTGAACTTATAGAAATAACAGAGTGAAGATTCAAACATTTAACATTACCAATAAACCACCTGATTTTTTACTAGATATTCTGATAATCTGAGTTTCACAACAATAGAAAGGCAAAGCTAAAAATGCCAAAGCAATCCAAAGAGCTTTTTCATAAGTGTCCAATATGTGGACAATCATTAAAATTGAAATATCAAATGAAGGTTCATATATTAAAACATACAAATGAACACCCATATGAATGCTTAACATGCGGTAAAACATTTTATAAGCTAAATCATGTAAAAAGTCATTTGTTGACACACTCTGGGAAGTCTCCTTATAAATGCATTACATGTGGGAAATGCTTTGTATCTAAAGGCAAATTGAAAGTACATACTATGGTTCATTCAGGAGAGCGACCTCATAAGTGTATTACATGCGGAAAATCCTTTGTAACTGAAAACAAATTGAAAGTACATAAAATGGTTCATTCAGGAGAGCGACCTCATATATGCATTACTTGTGGAAAATCGTTTGTATATAAAAGCTATTTTAAAATACATACAATGGTTCATACAGGAAAGGGACCTCATAAATGCATTACATGCGGAAAATGCTTTGTATCTAAAGGCAAATTGAAAATACATACAATGTTTCATACAGGAGAGAGACCTCATATATGCACTACTTGTGAAAAATCCTTTGTATCTAAAAGAAAATTGAAAGTACATACAATGGATCATACAGGAGAGCGGCCTCATAAATGTATTACATGCGGAAAATCCTTTGTATATGAAAGCAATTTGAAAGAACATAGAATGGTTCATACAGGAGAGCGACCTCATATTTGCATTACTTGTGGAAAATCCTTTGTATCTAAAAGCAATTTGAAAAAACATACAATGGTTCATACAGGAGAGCGACCTCATAAATGCACTACATGCGGAAAGTCCTTTGTATCTACAAGCCAATTGAAGCTACATACAATGGTTCATACAGGAGAGCGACCTCATAAATGCACTACATGCGGAAAATCCTTTGTATCTACACGCCAATTGAAGCTACATACAATGGTTCATACAGGAGAGCGACCTCATAAGTGTATTACATGCGGAAAATCCTTTGTAACTGAAAACAAATTGAAAGTACATAAAATGGTTCATACAGGAGAGCGACCTCATATTTGCATTACTTGTGGAAAATCCTTTGTATCTAAAAGCAATTTGAAAGTACATGCAAGGGTTCATACAGAAGAACGACCTCATAAGTGTTCTACATGTGGAAAATCCTTTGCATTAAAAAACAGTTATAAAAGACATCTATTAACTCATGGCAATGGACATCCTTATAAATGTAATACATGTAAAAAAGCTTTCAAATCAAAGGATAATTTGAAAAAACATATTTTGGTTCATACGGGTGATAAACACAACTGTACTACAGTGGGAACTCCTTCTTAAAGCAAAGGCAATTGTAAGCATCATGTATTAATTCATTGCAATTAGCATACTTATAATTGCTTCACATGTGAAGAATCCTTTGTATCTGAAAGCAAATTGAAAGAACATCAATTGGTTCATACAAGCGACCTTATTAGTGGATTATTTGTAAAGAATCCTCATATAAAACATTTATGATAAATTTGTATTACTGTAAGTCATACACCTAAGCGTCCCTATAACTTGTTTGAAAACCATTTAATAAAAAAGCTAATAAAAAAAACATATAATGAATCATATTAGAACAACATTAAAGTGTTTGTAATTTCATACTGCTGTGGCCCCATAAATCTCAGTCGATTCTTCACCTCATGTACCAGCCTCTTCCATCCGAACTGTCCTCTGCCAAGTTGATATGTTTGCACCCATTGTCCTAACATCGTTCAATACATGGTCAGTCCATCTCAATTTCGGCCTTCACAATGGACGTTTACCTCTAGGTGTGGTTCTCCAAACTTCATACAGTCTTGTTAGGACTTTATTTTAAAAACCATGAATGTTTTTCATTTTTCGGGGACGATACCTATGTTTTGCTTCCATATAACAGAATAGGTAGAATTATTGTCTTTTATAACTGTATTTTTGTTCTGTGGGATAATACTTAGGTTGGGATTAACTTTTGCAGGCTCCCAAACACTTATCGCATTTGATAACTCAGTTAGTCTCCCTTTGTATTCTAAATGTTAACAGTTAAAGTGTTATGCATATAAAAAATTGTAGAAACAATTAATTAGAATAAACATAAATCATTACACATAATACTTTGAGACTTTATTTACCTTGCCCTGGCTTAGACCGAATGTCCAATCTTCCCCCGTAAGAAAATCCACTTGTCTAGTCTTGCATCTTTTCTATTTTACTACTTTCAATACTACTTTAAAAAACCGTTATATTATAAAAAATTAGGTGAAACATAAGAAAATGTTAAGCTCGAGGAGATAGCATATGATGTATTGTATGCAGACCAAACCTGACAAGGAGAATAACGTGGAAATGTCACTAGCAAATATTGTGAGGAACTTGAATTATCTTGCAAGGTCCTGTCAAAACTTATTGATGAGTTATCTGAACATCTGTAAGGCTTCCTGTAGTACAGCTGAAAGAGAACTAAGAGATCATTGGAAACCTCCTATCCAAGAATAAAGACAGATTAGCTGTGTTCGAGTCAGCTGCATTATTCTATTTGAGGTAAAAAAATATCTTGGTAGGCTAAGAGTAAAATATATATTTATAAAAGAGGAACTATGTATGTATGTTTATGTATGTACCAGTACTCCGAAAACTCGATAGTTTCTACAATGTTGACAAATAAATATAATTTAAAAGCAGATGTTTACTTTCACCAACTGTTTGTAGGTTTGAATAATGGGTGAGGTTCATTAAGTCCAATTTCACTAAGTCCAACGGGTAAAATATTAATGTAGTCCGTCCGGTTCCTCTTCTTTCTCACGCATACCCTCCTAAAAATACTTGATTTTCTCTAACTACTCCATGGAGTCGTTTTATTAGAAAGGCGTGATAGTTTTAAATTTAAATATAGATTTTAGTCCCTTTGAGAAGTAGATGACTTTCGACGATTATAATGGCAAAGCCAAATTGAGCCAAAAAGGAGTGGTAACTCAGTTTTGGCATTTCCTCGAGTATTTAAGCTCCCTGAGTATACTGTAGAATTAATGTTCCGTTATGAGATCAGTTCCGTTTCTGACTCTTGGACCCTTGATGATTACGATCTCATGATCATGTTCATGGCACCTTTTTCTTATGAGTAAAAATTTAGGCTGCTGATGTAACGAATATCCATTCTAATATGCCCGTGGACACAGTGTCAACCTGTTCCGTGCTGCTCACTTGAGGTGGTAAATGCGTCGTGTTGTTCTTGTTTCAGCAGTTCTTCAGACAGCTGTAGTTGTAGACTGGCAGATATAAATATTAATACCGAGTGTGGGAATTGACGGCTGTCCAGTATCCGTCTACCCCCTCCCCTTCATCAATCCCCCCGACAAACGTGATCTGCTCTGATACATGTCTTCATCTCGTCATCTTTTTGTCATCTCCCCACTCTTCCTTCACTCATTCTCTCTATATCCCTCTGTAGTGTAGTTGATATTTCCGTATTCGGTCAGATATGGGCAAACGTCTTTGAAATGAACTCGTACTCGTTACGTAATGATATTGTTAACGACACGAGTAGAAAATTTAAGGTACGAGCCTTGGCGAGAAACTTTTTCGAGTGTCGTTAACACTATTTACGCGAGTACTAAAAATACACTAAAAATTGCTACTCATCACTTTTAAGAGAGGTTATGTTTTCGTTTATAGCCTCTCATTGCCACTGACAGTGATGCAACGACACATGTAACAAACACTAATTTTGCACAATTCAACAATGAAATTGGCCTGAACAGCTGATTTATTGAAGCTCACATCATTACAGTTTTACTTCTTCTCTCTCAATCCTTGAATCTTATTGGTCTGTTACCCGTGTTGTTATGAGTAAACTATGCTGTTATGAAAGTAACAATGCTTTATGTGAAACTTTTCAATTCTAAGAACTGAACTGAACTGAAACGGCTAATATTATATAACGGTCGTAGGTAATAATAGGTATATTACGTTACTAGTCCTGAAAATACGTGTTTACCGGACGAGTGTGGTCGTTCCCGTGCGAGACGAAGTCGAGTAGGCCTACGGGATTACCATTCGAGTCCGGCACACACATTTTGGACGAGTTATATCTTTGTTTCCCTTGTCTGTGGTTATACGTACGATAGCTTACGCCATACTACTAAATCTGTGCAAATCCTTATATATTTCCACCAACTAAAGGACAAAAAATCACTAGTCATAACCTCTAAAAGAGGTTACTTCTTAACCTCTGAAAGAGGTTATGTTTTTGTTTATAACCACTCATTGCCACCTAAATACAGTATAATCAGCTGATTGGTGTCCGGTAAAACTCATTACAGTACAGTAGTACGCAATGAAACCCCATTTGAGCTGGCGGCCAACAGCTGTTTTCTGGACTAAATCTTTGCGTGGGAAGTTTGTCAAAATAATGTAGTGTGGCGTAAAATTACCATCGAACTATATAACACAACAATAACTAACGTTATCTTCAAAGGTTGCAAAGTTGGTTTGTAGGCGTGAGTTTGATATTCACTTCTTTTGATTTCTTTGCAAAAATGTAGACAATTTTACCTTTGACGATAAGCTTAAGATGGTTTGTGAATTTGGATATTTGCTTCCTTTTTACGTTTCAGGGGTGTAAACAATGATAAACCAATCGTGGTCTCAAATTATTTAATTGCCTTGGTCTTTTGGAACCCACTTCCATCACACAGATTCATGGGTACTATAAACATATATTTATTTATTTTGTATGCTATTTACGCCAATGGCATTTTTTTAACGTTTTGAAAAAGTCCCCTTGTCTTGCCACTTGAGACGGCAAATCCTACCCAATTTTAGTTACCTGTCAAATCACTAACTGAATACTGTAGTTATTGAACGAAATTGAAAGACAAGAATTGAGACTTTAATTTCTTTCAAGTAAGGTGCCTACGGATTACGATTTTCAATTGGTTTTATCTTGAAAAGCATCCGTATACGGTATTAAGACTCAAATCTCCTCAACAATGACCTGATTTACTACTGTAGAGTACAATTCACTCATCCCTTTCTGGCCGAATAATCTGAGCAAACTAAACATAACACGAGGAACAAGAATTACGTTTCCTTCCAACTGTCTATCTATAAAACTGGCGTCCATCAAGGCCCCACTGTCCATTCAAGCATTTCTACTATTTAACATGCTAAGTTGGGGTAGTAGATGATCAGAATGTAAATACAGTACAGTGAGACATTTATTAAAAAGTAACATTTTTGACATAACATTAAGTGACATTTTAGAAAATAACATGATTGCAGAGTTTTGTAGATGATGTTGTTTTACTCACAAACAATGTACGGTAAAGTTTAAAGTTATCAATTTAAGAATAAAAGGCAAAGCTATCAATACCAATGTCTAAAATTATTGGTGTGACAAAAAAAAGATGTTCACCAGTCATTCTGATTGGGTGATAAAAAAATAATGCGCCTTGTTGAACACTTGGGCTAGATACTCGATGGTTCCAATATTTGAATCCAAAGTTCATTTGAAGCGTTCAGCGTCAATTTCTTGCTCTTATCATTCGTAATTTACGTGTCTGTTACTTAATATTCATGTATTGGGCATTTATCATGCTTTGATAATTTTATAACTTTTGTTAACTAACAGATTATGCATTTAAGTAACGGAATTGTGTTCGTGTAACTTTCAACTCTACCTTGACTCTAGTCTGGGTTATTCACCTCTTACTTGGCCCCGCTCCACGTGTCCCATACAAGTTAAAAACACAAGTGCAACGAAGGGTTGCGAAACAGGCGCATCTGCAACGAGACCGGAAATGCAAATTTGGCGCGAAAAGTATCTAGGCTAGGCATCTGCCTATTCACCCGGGACGGTTGGTGCTTCTCCCCTTCGTCATAAAATAGAATTTCTTTGACGTCCAGCAATTTTTACCACCTTCCGGTTATGGTGGGAATCCGACGAAGACATCGGTGCCCGTTGAAGATTTCGTTTTTGGGCATTTTTAGTCAGGCCTGGTTCCCGTTGTGAAATCGAAGCCGTTGACTATTGGCGGTTTAACCGGCAAGCTATTATTATAGGGAAGTAGCTATTACTGTAGGTGGCGCTGTGACCTAGAGCCGGGGCCGATATACTTTTTGTATATATATACGTCTATGAACGCGATAACTTGAGTAATTTTTGTTTGATTTCGATGAAATTTGGCTTGAAGATGTAAGACAGAATAATCTTGAATGAATTCATGAACCAGCATAATCGGACCATGGGAACAGGGTTTTATGGGGTAACAATTGGGTTTTCTCACTTTTTACCCCCAGAATGTTTAAATTAGAGGTCTTAGCAACTCCTCCGTGTACAACACACACTATTTATTTTACACCGACCAGGCAACATTGCCATAACGAGACTGGACCGAGGAGACCCCAAAATCATCTCGATAAGAACTCGCACTGTATTTATCTTCAAAATTAAGTCGCTATGCAAGAATCCTCCTACAGCGTCGTCTTTATCTCGTTCTCTTCCCGCTTGAATGAACGTTTAAATTTTTTGCGGGATATAAGTGGTAAATAAGGTGGGGCGGTTTTATTTCAGAAAACCTATTGAAGCCCATACTGTCGAAGTGTCGACGAAGTTTCAAGTCAAGATGAATGTAATACATTTAAAATGAAACTCGTATTACGATTTAGTTACCATGTGACGTCATCCAAATAATTATGTACGCATTAAAGATTCAACTCCAAGCAAAATGCGTCCCTTCTACTTCTTTTTCTGTGTCTCCTTTTTCTCCTTATTCTTTTTTCAAGAATCCTACAAAAACACCAGAGATAAACAAACGACAAATGAAGACACATATTTCAGATACTATTGTCGGTATATTGAAAAGAACCAAATATTCTTGGGCATTTAAAATTGAGCACAAATGCAAAACAATTGTGAAAATGCTAGTGTTATTTTTCACGCGTTTTTTGTTACGTGGGCCTTTTTTGTATGCACACGGAGCATTCGTGTTACAACATGCACTTTGTATGGTAAGAATTCAAAAATAGCTTTACGAAACCATCGCATTCATA